GTAAGGTTTCTCTCCTGAATGAAGACTCTGATGATTTTGCAGACTAACTGTGTTGGTAAAGCATTTATCACATTCACTACATTTATATGGTTTATCTCTTGCATGAATTCTGTGATGCCTTCTCACACTGCCTTTTTCAGTAAAGCATTTGTCACATTCACTACATTTGTAAGGTTTCTCTCCTGAATGAATTCTCTGATGCCTTCTCAGACTGTTTTTTGTAGTAAAGCATTTGTCACATTCACTACATTTGTAAGGTTTCTCTCCTGAATGAAGTCTCTGATGATTTCTCAGACTGCCTTTTTCAGTGAAGCATTTGTCACATTCACTACATTTGTAAGGTTTCTTTTCTGTATGAATTCTCTGATGAATTCTCAGACTGCCTTTTTCAGTAAAGCATTTTTCACACTCAGTACACTTATAAGGTTTCTCTCCAGTATGATATTGCTGATGAATACTAAGTTGGCCTTTTGTGGCAAAGCGTTTGTCACGGTCACAGCATCTGTGAGGTTTCTCTCCTGTATGAATTCTCTGATGGATGCTAAGATTGAATATTTGTGTAAAACATTTTTCACATTCACTACATTTGTGAGGTTTCTTTCCTGGATAAATGCTCTGCTGACTTTGAAGATTGTCTCTCTGGGTAAAGCATTTGTCAGGTTCACTACATTTGTAAGGATTCACTCCACTATTATTTTGTTTCACCAATGGTTTATGTTTAGAGATAAAAATCTTATGAAATTCTGTGTTTCTATTGTGTTCTTTCATTTCTATGTGGATTCCTTGATTGAGACTAATGATTGAACACACATTTAAACTGTTTGTACATTCTTTATACTTACAAACTTCTTCAGTGTTCCCAGTTTTAGGTCTTCTTCGATTTGGGAATTGAAGAGATGCATTTTTGTTGTGAGTTTTATGATATGTGCTTTGGGTAGATTCATGAATCATATTGCTAAGTTTATTGCATTTAGAAGATTTTTCTTGGATATTCATATGCTCCTGGACAATGTACAGTGTGTCTTGATCCAAGACCTGCTCATTCGTTCCACATATGGGATGATTTTCTGAAAAAAGTTTAATTAGGGATGACAGAGATTACTTACATGAGGATCAAGTGATTCCATAACCAGTGTTTGCTGAAGTTTTAGGTAAAATACACATTCTCATGGACTCATGCACTCTAGAGAGTTTTTTTTTCTTTTAATCATTACATGGATCCTTAGAAGAACCTCAAATCTGATCTATATCAGATGATAGGAAATGATAATTGCCTT